TTGTGTTTCTGTTCTGGAGAGGGATGAAGGAGACGCTTTCCGAGAGGCATGTTCTCGTAGCGAGGTCGTCTCCACTAGGAAGGGCATTTCCTTTTAAAGCAGATCTTACATAGCCCAAGAGAGACTAGGTCTTTATGTAGTTCAAATTATCTTGAACTTCTGCTTTTCCAATTTCTACATCCCAAGTGTTAGGATTACAGGCATGTCTCCCCATAGCCAGTTTATGTGAGTCTGGGGATCAAACTCAGAGTGCACGTGGGAGACAGGCAGTCTTCTAACTGAGCAATAACCTCCTTTCACAGAGGTTTCTCAGAGATTGCATTTACTCATACAAAAAAAAAAAAAAAAGACTAAGCACCCACCATGTTCAAAGCAGAGGCTGAGGTGCAGTTTCAGCAGTGGATGAGAAGTCCTTGCCTCACAAGGACCGCAAGGTCAAAGCCACAGAAACAGCAAATAAATATATAACATGTGGTGGACAGTGTAGTACTGTAAAGGAAAGGCGGGAGAGGTAGGCATGGGAATGCCTAGAGATGCTGGGGCTGTCTTACCAAGAGGACAGCATCTGTGCTACCCGGGAGCAAGCCAGCTGGGTACCTGGGAATGATCCTGCCAGGCAGGGGCCACAGCAAGGGAAAGGGTTTGCGCTGGAATATGTTTCATAGAATCTGAGAAGCAACTGGCAGGCTGGTGTGGAGCAACTGCAGAGCAGACACACGGGTGGTGGCAAGGCACAGGGTGGCGGCAAGGCACAGGGTGGCATGCTAGCGGGGCCCAGATCACACACACCGGGATAAGAACGTAGGTTCTTCTAGGGGGCACGGGTGATCGGCAGAATGTGACGTAGCATGGTTCCCACGTTTAAAAACGGCGACTCTGGTTGTTTGAAGACTGTGCTGCTGAGCTGACAAGATTAGCTTAGGTACAACTGTAGGGCTAGAGAAGCGACGGTGACCTGGGCCATGCAGGTACAGTGGGAGTGGACTAGTCTGAAGGTCAAACTGGTGGGATTTGCTGATGGACTGAGTGTGTATGAGAGGTATGAATGCAGGTATGAGGCATTGGCAAGAGTCCACTTAGCTTGAACTATACACTTAACGGGTGAGACCCTGCCACCATGGACCTGCACACCCCTCCCTAAATAAAGTAACTGGCCACACCGAGCTGGAGCTTCCTAGAAACCCTTAGTAATTCCCGTCTGTGGCCAAGCACATTCTGAAACACACCTGGGAGTGTGAGGCAGTGGTGGGTTCATCCAGCCTGGACTGGTTTGGAGTGCATCCACAATAGAGCAAACTATGCCCAAAATGAAATATTAGGGAAAATCCCTATTTACTATCATGCCTGTGCGTAAGATTAAAATCAGCTGCATCATGGGAAAGGACATGTGCAATGAACACATCCATACCATGCCTGTGCAGGCCAGAAGACAATCTTCAGGTGCTGGCCCCGCCTTTCCATGTTGTCTGAGAAGGACTCTGCTGATACATAAGCCACGCTAACTGGCCCAAAGAAAGCTTCTAGTGCAATCTCTGGCCTTAGCCTCTCTTCTCTGGGTTCCACATTTCCGATGACCTTAGGAACCACTGTCTCTCCAGACAGGTCCACCCTCATGCAGACACGCCCACATGTGAGTACCTGGAAATGTATTCAAGGGTCGAAGCAACGGGAAGGTTGAGAACCACTGGGGTAGAGGAAGCTGGGTTTATATATTTTGGTTTTTCCTTGTATTCCGGGAGATCTGAACTCAAGTTCTCAGGCTTGTGCAGGAAGCACCTTTACCCACTGAGGATCTCCTGGCGTGGTGTATCTAGTCTGTGCTCCCAATTTGCTCCTTAACACTCACTGCTTTACCATTGCTTCCCCAAGTCTCTGACGGATACCATGAACCTAGAAACCCTCAGTCCAGAAAGAGACTGCTGGTAACAGTTTCAACCCTGGAAGCCCAGGAATACTCAAGAGCGGCTTTAGGGCCAGAGAGATGACACAGCAATTAGGATCGCTCGCTCTTCCAGAGGACTCAGGTTCAGGTCCCAGTACCTCATGGCAACTCACAGCCAGCTCTAACTTCAGTTCCAGGGGATCTGATAATCTCTACCATTCTCTGCAGGCACCAGGCACCTATGTGCTATACTTGCACATGTGCAGGCAAAGCACTGGTACACATAAAAATATGAAAATATACATCTTTTGAAGAATAGCTGCCAAAAATAGGGTTAGCTGATGTGTTGTGGCACACCTTTAATGCCAACACTCAGGAGGCAGAGGTAGGCAGATCTTCTGATTTGAAGCCAGCCTGGTTTACATATCGAGTCAGACCAGCCAGAGCTACAGAGTGAGACCATGTCTTTTTTAAAAACAGTTTGCACAGGGTTGGAGAGATAGCTCAGTGGTTAAGGATACTGGCTGCTCTTCGTGAGGACCCAGGTTCAATCCCCAGCACCCACATGGCAGCTCACAACTGTCTAACTCCAGTTCCAGGGGATCTGAACACCCTCATACAGACATACATGCAGTTCAACACTAATGAACATGAAAGAAAAATTAAAAAAAATTAAAGTTTGCACAAAATCTGTTTATGATGCTTTATATAAGTATAAACTTTATATAAGTAACTTACAGTGTTCAAAGTCAAGGGACCACATGAAATCACCTAGCTAGTGGTTGTAGGGACTGGGAGAGTTTGAACCCCAGGAGTTCTTCCAAAACTAGAGGTTTAGGAAAGGAACAGATGTGGTAGAGTAAAAAATGAGAAGTCAGAGGTAGGAACACACTCAGGGTCAAAGTGGTTTCCTGGAAGGTATGAGAAGAGCATCTCAAGGAGAGGTCATTAACAGGACCAAACCACCACTGGGCCAGACAAGAGAGGCGCTTTGGTTAATGACAGCAGTGTGTTCAAAACACATGAGATCAACACACGTGAAATACATTAGCATCACTAGCTTGGGGCGTGGCCAGTATCTTGGGTACGTGAGGGCTCCCCTACAATCTGCCAGGAAGACTATGCTGCTGTTGAAATTTTCACTCCTGTGATGGTCTTTCTCTGTGACATACCTTCGTACTTCTGAGACACTCCCAATGAAGTCAATTCATGATCCCTTCCGTGGCAGCGTATCCCTTGGGAGTAATGATCAATGATCTATGGTGGTTTGAAAGAAAATGGTCCCCAAAGGGGGTGTCACATTAGGCCTTGTTGGAGTAGATGTGGTCTTGTTGGAGGAAGTGTGTCACTGTGGAGGTGGGCTTTGAGTTCTCACACATGCCCAAGCCATGCCCAGTGAGACATACCATTTCTTGTTGCCTGCAAGTCAAGATGTAGGACCCTCCGTTCCTTATCCAGCACCATGTCTGCCTGCATGTCAACAGGTTGCATCATGATAATGAACTAAACCTCTGAAAATGTAAGCCACCCTGATTAAATGTTTTCCTTTGTAAGAGTTGGCATGGTCATGGTATCTCTTCATAGCAATAGAAACCCTATGAGTTTCCAACCTGATAGAGCCAGTCCCAAAGAGCCCCAGAGTGAAGATGTTTGTTACCAGATACCCCCATAAAAAACCGATGGTACTTAGAGTTAACATGAGTCTCCAAATTAGTGTCAACAGTTGGAAAGGCCAGATCAGAAATGGTGGCTTACTCGGACTTTTCCACTGAGGACTTGGAGCTTTAGGTGTTCTAAAATACATCCTGGATCTCCAAGGAGCAAGACTGTGTTTCTCAGATCTTCTGAGCTCAGGGGACCACAGGCCACTCTAGGTAGCACAGGAGAGGAGAGCCCTTTAGAGTGTCACCTGTATGGTCAAGTCCTGCCTGAAGAGACATGCCCCGAGGGCCTGTGGCCTGCCTGCCAGCCATCTGCTAGGCTCTTGTTACTTTCACCTGGACATGAGCCTACTCTCTCTCTCTGATGTGACCTTGCCACCTATAGACCCACTTTCCCCATGATGTTTCATGCCAATTCTGAAAAGGATAAATTTCACTACTAACTGAACTGGTCTCCAATTTCCTTCTTACAAGCCATACAAAGAAAGGGGACTAGAGGGGACAAGCATTGTAGCAGACATCTGGGACCCCAGCACTCTGGCACTGAGGCAGGAAGACCGAAGTTCAAGGCTAACAAGGTCTACATGGGACACGGTCTCAAAAAAAAAAAAAAAACGGGTGCTAGAGCGGAAATAAGCAGACTGCTCATTCCGAAGGCCAAAATGAATGCATCTCATTAGAACCCTACATTTCTAAAATGTTAAAATTTTAAAACACACACACACACACACACACACACACACACACACACACACACACTCAGAGAATAAGGTGGTATCACCAAGCTTTTGACCTGAATCTGATCCCCAGGACATACATGACAGAAGACAAAAACTAATCCCCGGGCTGGAGAGATGGCTCAGAGATTAAGAGCACTGACTGCTCTTCCAGAGGTCCTGAGTTCAATTCCCAGCAACCACATGGTGGCTCACAACCATCTACAATTAAATCTGGTGCACTCTTCTGGCAGAACACTGTATGTGTAATAAATAAATAAATAAATCTTAAAAAAACTAATCCCCAAAGCTGTCCTCTGACTGCACACTTGTACCCAGACACAAAATAAATAAATGCAATAAAATTATTAAAGGTTTCCCGTGACAAGCCAGGCATGGTGGTGCACACTTTTAATCCCAGCAGTGGGGAGGCAGAGGCAAGCGGATCTCCGAGTTCAAGGCCAGCCTGGTCTACAAAGTGAGTTCCACAAGAGTTTGGGCTGTTACACAGAAAAAAATCCTGTCTTGAAAAACAAAAACATACAAAAAACTCTGTTCTCTCTCACTTTCTCCCATGCCAACAACCCTCTTCATTCCCTCTTCTGATTAAATGTTTGCAGAGACATGTTAAGCAGTGAAGACCAGGTTTCCACAGCACCCACTGAATTCATTCCTTACCCAATTAGTGTGGATGAGAATATCAGATGTGAGGGAGGAGGAGGGAATAATCAATTCAAGTCATTTTGTTAAAAATATTTATTAAAAAAAATACAATTGTTGTCCATATCTAGTTGCACATGTATCTATAAACAGATCTCTAAAGCTCTGGACATGTAGTAAACATGCCAGAGTGCTTTCTCAAAGCCAGCTTCCCACATACAAGCAAATCCCTCTGTCAGTTCTTACATAAAAGCTTTTAAAAATGTATCATTTTCTTAAAATACACATGATCTTTACAGAAGTTAACAAAGCTTTTGCATAAAGCTTAGAAGCAACAGAAGGAAGGGCCCCTGACTGGTTACTCAGGGCAGTCCCTTGCAATGCCTGGAGACAGCACCCAGTGGACCGCCATCTTGTTTTTTGAACAGCAGTGCATTAGAAAGCCCTCAAAGTGCGCATGCGTCCTTTTCCCCCTCTCCCCAAACTCCATGAAATTTCTGTCACTCAAAGGCAGAATTCAAGACTCCACACTGGCTTCACCAGCCTTAAAACAACACCCCTTTGTCTCTACAGTTAAGTGCTACTGTGTAGCTAGATTAGATGAGGCATTCTGCCCAGCTGTAAGAACAACCAATGTTAATTTTAAGGACTGTTAGCAGTTACCATTTCAATTGCTTTTTCAGAAAGGAACAAAAGTGATTGTAGCACTTTGCAGGTCCCCTTAATAGAAACTAAACTAAAATAAGACATGTCATTAGTGTCGCCTCGACAGTTCTTTTGGGCATGTGTTGCTTGCACCCATCTAAAGATCTACTCATACAAAGTGGTAACACCGAGTAATGTGAGACACAGATTGCAATAAAATAAGCAAGGAGCGGTGAACACACAGGCAACAGTTCCTCTAAGGAGTCGAGTACCCTGTGAAGTCCTTTCTACCACCCATCCCAAACTCACATACACAGGAACCTGCCACCCCCCATCCTGTGCAAATACCAGAGTATATGCATCACAATCACTCCATAGCAGAACACATGCTTTTTACTAAATTAGAGATTCACTGAATGAAAAGTAAGAGTCTGTTATTAATGTCATTACCTTTTAAATCATGTTCACACTGCACAGTGCACCAACTGGCAGGTTCACTGTGACTCAATCACCTAGCACACATAATTTAAAATAACCCATGGTTATTTCTCATTAATCACAAGGATCTTGTGCCTCAGGTTGGCCCTGAACCTGCCAGAGATGACCTTGAACTTCTTGATCATCCTGCTTTCTACATTCCTAGTGCTAGGATTAAAGGCTTGAACCTCACTCCCAGTGTATGATGCAATGGGGGTCAAACTTGGGGCTAGTACAAGAGCTCCAGCTTAGGGGGCTCTTTTAAAAAAGAAGTTCTGTAGGATTCATGGTTAGTAACTGGGTTGTTCTTAAGTGCAGACTTAAGCCAGATGTGGTAACACTTGCCTGTCGTCCCAGCTACTCAGGAGGCTGATGCCTGAAGAGACTGTTTAATGCAAAACCTACTTTTAAAAAAGCCAATTTAATTATTTGGTGAATAAAAGACATAATTCTAAGAGACCTACTTTAACCCAAACTTTTATGTTTGGAACCAAACTAATCAGTATCAAAATGAACTAAGGCTTCTAAAAAAAATGTGTGTGTGTGTGTGTGTGTGTGTGTGTGTGTGTGTGTGTATGTGTGTGTGAGAGAGAGTGTGAGTGAGAGAGAGACAGGAGAGAGAGAGAGAGTGCGCATATACGCAGCATGTTAAGTATATGTGCAGATGCCCACGGAAGCCACAGGGGGGCATCAGATCCTCTAACACTGGAGCTGCAGGCAGCTGTGAGCCACCTGGCATGGGTGCTGAGAACCACACTCTGTCCCTCTGGATGAGCACCAAGTGCTCTGAGCCACTGAACCTCCACCTCTTCTTTTTAAATGTATTTTCAGGCAGGCTCTCACGAGGCTCAGGCTGGCCTCTAACTCACTATGTAGCCAAGGATGACCCTGGACTCATCTATGATCCTCCTTCCTGCACCTCCCAAACATTGGGATTACGAGCATGCACTAACAGTCCAGGCAGAGCTTTATACATAGTCTTTCCCACTCACAAAGATAAACAAAGCGAAGATCCTCAGGGCCACACTGTCAACAGGCATCCAGAAACTCAAAGATCCTGTGTAAATCTTCCCCTAAGTGTGCACATGCTTTCTACCACATATGCCAGCAATGGCAGCAGCAAATGTCAAACAGAGGCCACTGGTAATACTGTCCTCAAGCAAACAATGAAATGTCTCAGAAGGGACTGTGCCCCTACGTAAAAGAAATAAATGAGGAAATCAACAACTAAAATTGTCTTTTGTATATCAAATTTACAGTGCAATCTACCAATGCAAATCATCTTTTAAAATCATAAATTTCTACAAAGCACAATATAAAAGCTTGTGAGTCGTTTACATGCTAACTGAAAGAGGCTGTCTTACTGAGCCTGGAAGGAAGACTCAATCAGGTAATCCATTTCTCCCTTCTATAAATGCTCTAAGGTCCCCAAACTAGAAATGAGAAACAGCCATATTTCCTTGACCCTCCTGAAGCTGAAATCGAGCAAAAGAACCATTAACTGCTTCCAGTTATTAAAAACAAAAACAGCTGGGCATGGTGGCACATGCCTTTAATCCCAACACTTAGGGGCAGATGCAGGAGGATCTGTGTGAGTTTAAGACCAGCCTGGTCCACATAGTGAGTTTCTCAGGGCTACACAGTGAGACATTGTTTCAAAAACCAACCAACAAAAAAACAACAAACAAGCAAACAGTGCTAATATAGATCCCAAGAAAGTGCCAAGTGATTTAACAGCGGTTCACAGAATTCCCACTCCTGAGAGCGGGCAGAGTGAATGACTCTGTTGGCAGGACCTATGGGCCAGCTGCCAGGCACCATCTCCCTTTCACCTTATCAAGAAGATTCTAGGCTGTATGAGCACAGCTCATAATCCCTGGAGAGAGGAGAATCACTTTAAGATGGGAACAAGGCAAAGCTGAGACCATTCAACCTGACCTGCCCCCCCTTCTGCTAATGCTACTAATACAGGGTTTAAAGGGTACAGCAAGCCAGGAGTCCTCCCTCCCCTTACACTCCATAGACACCTCCTGAGAAACTTCCCAGCCAACCCAGGAGCAATTTTACACGAAAGCAAACAAACACACAGAGCTTTAGGAAAACGCCCTTACATTTGATACATGAAGAGTGCAGGGTAACGCCACTGTGGGGAGTAGTCTAAGCATCAGGGTCTGTAAGGCCTATGAGTCCATGCATTAAAAACTGAACTGGACATGGCAGGTCTTTAAAGGTGGCGCCTGTAGGTGCAGCAATGAGGGTTTCCTTTATTAGGTTTAGAACAAATAGACGAGCAACCACCTTAGGGGATAAATATACCTCTCTCAGGAAAAAGAGTCGCATACCCTGGGTCAACATGGCCGTGTATGCATAGGGATGTACTCTGCCACTCCCTCGGGAGGACTGAGAAATGTGCTTGATTCCCAAGTAAGTATTTCAAAGACAAGTTAACTTCATGAAACTTCCCGGTGTGCATTACACTTACCCTTCGAGACTGTCTGTAAGCCCCAGGAATTTCCTGGTAGAAGCTGTCATTTAGTTGTGGGGGAGGTGTTGCTAGGGGTGTGGCCCAGTAGTGGTCACTCATTTAGCATGTGTGAGGGCCCTGGTTCTGTCCCCAGCACCACAGAATCAAGTCAAATCATGCTGGCAGACAGTTACTCTCCCACAAGCCACTGCGCATGTCTACCTTTCACAAGGGCTGAACTACAAACGGTGGCACTGAAGAAATGGCTTCTTTTTGGCAAGCTAGCCACGGGTTTCATTTTGTCTCAGTAACACGAAGCACCCTGAAGGACTCAGCTTCAGATGGACCACTTGCTGGCAGCAGTGAAGTCACCACGATGACAGCTGACCTCTCCTATCTGATGTTTACAGGTGAAGGCATGACTCTCATAGTAACAAGTCCCACGGAGGGCAAGACGCGCCATCACCTGTAGAATCCCGCTCAAAGACAGAGACCTCACCTTCAGTAAGTAGTTCTGATAACATCGAACAATAATGGGGCAGCGCCAGCACTGAGAACAGCAGACCTAGAAGAAAACCAGCGAAGTGCTTTCCACAGAAGTCAGTGTCTAGGAGGCTGCTGGAGACAGACTGTGTGTCTGTCCCTTCCCTGCACTGTGTGTCAAGTGCTCAGCTGCTCAAATCCACTTGAGATCCCACCCTGCTCCCGACAACAGACCACAGACTACATCAACACTCTGGATCTTGCTGGTCTGGAAATTCATTCCGAGCCTTGGGTTTCTGCTCAGGCCTGTACTTGTCTCCACATCTTTCCAAGCCGGAGGACGGCACCGTGGCATGACTCCTGGTTTTTGGCACAGGCAAATGGCACATATGTAGTAAATAAGTGATAAACAGAACAAGTCATTGAGTAAACTATCCTTTCAGATGTTTAAATGTCCCAAATGAAAAAACACAATAAAAACAGCACTTCATAATCCAGCAAGAAAGATGGCAAATACTTTAGCATAAAGTAACCTGACATAATTGTGAATCTATTGGCAAAACATAAGGCCAAAGAAGTTTGTAAAAAGACTATAAATTAAAACTATCAGCTGTTTGTAATACAGAGCTGAAAAGAAAACAGCTCAGAATGCACAGGGAATCCAGAGAGCGTTTGGGAATGAATTCCCAATGAGAAAGAAGTAATAGAAAATCTGAAAGGCTATGACAAAGCTCCAGAAAATCTCAAGCTAGAATTTAATAATAATAAAAAAAAAACCTGTACTTGAGAATCAAACATCAACTTCATGTTGAATCAATGATTTAGGACAGTGATTCTAGGTACAGAGCCATCTTCTAGGGCACAGGAAGGACTCAGCAGGACTGGCTGCTAGACAGCATTTATTTCTTATGCTAAACCCCCATTTTGTATGCTACAGTAGAGTGTCGATGTTACTTTAATGGAGGGATATATACGTATGAATTTTTGAGTAACTCACATTCATAACCTCAGTACTTGGGATGCCAAAGCAGGAGGATTGCCAAGAGTTTGAGGCCAGCATAGACTAAAGACTAAGACCCAGTCTCAAAAATCAAAAAAGAAAATAAACCAAAAGAGAAAACCTTTTCCTAATCAAGGAGTATGTTCCAGAACACTGCCAACTGCTCTTCTATAGTTCCATTAAGGGCCTCAATGGTGCTTAAGACATTATCACATAAAGCTGCCTTTCAGAATGTTAAAATCAAAGACCACAGTAAACAGTACTAGACCTCATACAGCACAAGGCCAAGGTGAACAAAACGACGGTGACAATATCAATCGCTGGCATTTAGCCATAAACGTCAAGACTCTGTCTGGTATACCTGCCAGCCATTCCTGCCTTTTGTGATCTCTAGTATAGTATACAAATCTGAGAGGAATTTTCCAGTTTACGAGGAAAATCCAGTACTCTACATAAGTTGATGGCTTTACTTTCTCCACCAAAATTTGAAAAAAAAAAAAAGTCAAGACATGTGGTGTACACTTGTAAAATGTCAGCATTTGGGTTCACAGCCAGCCTGGGTGACACAGGAAGATCTTATCTCAAAAGCAAAAACAAGAAAACCACAGTGAAAAAAATTTATACTTATATTTTAACTGTTAAAATATGAGGGAAAATAAACATATTTTAACTTGATGAAGCTTAATGTTGGCCTTTTGAGGGCTTCTACATTCAATTATATATTACATCCTTTTTTTAATTACTGGAAATTTCTACCCTCATTCAAACACACAGATTATGCCACAAGGACTATACTATCATAATAATACATGAGAAAAGATGACGTAAGTTAGACCTGACATTTTAATTGTGTATTTTTTAAAGAATCGGCATGAGTAAGAGAAAAGTACAGCTCAAGTGAAAACATACCCAAGGACATATACACAGGGGTGGGTGGCACCGCACGGAGCCACAGAGAACCATGGAAGCCAGCAGACCCTCCAAACCCAGGCCCTCCCAGAACCCCAAGGCCCTAAGACCCTCAGTCACCCAGCTGAGCATAGGTGACCCAGAGCAGAAAGAAAGCCAAGAGGTCTCAGGTGTCTCAAACCCCGACAGCCTGCTCATCTCCCCTGGCAAGCTGACTGGGGGTGGATGCCAGATGTGAGCTGAAGGTACAGAATCTCTCCCGAATACTGTTGATGCTAAGAATATTATGGCTATTCAAATCATACAAAGCTCAGACTTTGTCAGGAAGGAGGTAGTCTACAGCAAGAAATGGCTGCCTCACACACACAGCAAGGTTATAAGCTGACCTTAAAAAGGAGACACACACGCATGCACGCGCGCACACACACACGCACACACACACACACACACACACACACACACACACCACAGTTCCTCCAATTCATTCATTTCAAGAAGAAAGCAGTCCACCAACCCAACCCCCCAAGGCCTCATGGTTTCTTACAACGTTGCTCTGAGGTTTTTGTTTTTGTTTTTTTTTGAGACGGGGTCTCATGTAGTCCAAGCTAGTCTCAAACTCACTATGTAGCTGAGGCTATCCCTGATTCTTGATCCTCCAGCTCTCAACCCCCAAGTGCTGGGATCACGGACCTGTGCTACCACACCCAGCCTGAGTTTAAATGGTGCCCTTGGACCCACGGCACCTCTGTGCTAAAACAGTAAGTTATCAAACATATCATCTGTGAAAACAACCAATGGCTTTTCTCCTTTAACTCAAGAAGATAAAACGTTTATGTTTTCAGAATTTCAAACATCTAGTTAGATCAATTCTCAATATTTACTTAGTACACACAATGTTAACCCACTAAATTACTACAAAGTGCTACTGAGGGTAATTCCAAATATGCAAGCAATCTAAATAATCCACCCTGGGAAGGAAGCCCACTACAGCGCCTGTTCCCATCACTCTGAACACTACCTTTCAACCCCATTATTGCACATCATGGGAACAGAACATTTAGAACCACAAATGAACCAGTAACAGGTCTCCAACTGCCCCTGGGAAAAGGCAGCTCACTGTTGCCCTTCACTGCCCAGCCAGCACACATTTCCTTACCTAAGCATCTCTGCACTGGACAGCCAATGCTGTCCTGAAAGACGCCACACTGTGTCAGTGTCACCCTGAGCCTGCAGGCCCCCACTCTGTTCCACTATGTCAGGTCTAGGGTTTAATGGGTGAGGGGTGGGGCATGTAAAACAATTTAGTTCTGGACTTTAGAGTCAAAATTTTCAAGATTCTCTCAATTCTCTCAATTCAGTCTGAGAGACCAACGTACCTGTGTGCATCTGGCTCTGACTTACTACACGGTACTTTATAAACGTGACAATATGCAGATGAGGGGCCGTAGCAATAAGAAGTAGTTCTCATTACTAATTTAACAATCACAGTCCTATGTATGCGAACGGCCAAATGTAATCTGATCCCATAATTGAAAGCAATCTTGAAAAGAAACAAGCACACCTTTATCTCATGACTGACTGGAAAGTTTCATTTTGACATCCACCGTCCTGATTACACCTGAATGCTGCTTCATCCTCTGACCTTCGATTTAAAAGGAAGCATCATGGGAAGTGCAGAGCAGAAGTGGATAAAATTAGCAAGAAGAAAGCAGAGGCTATCACTCTGGGTGTCCTCTGGCTATAAAATGCCCCCACCTGTGTCTCCAGGTTCAACTGAACCTTTTTGCTTACTTCCAATATTCAATTTTTCAAGTCCCAACTCTATTTTCCTGAAAATTATCTTTTTTCCAAGATGTGCTGCCCGAATACAGAACCACACCACTCAAGAGAGCAGACAAGAGATATGTGCTCACAGTGGGGTCCTGTATTCTCAATGAATGCCCCAAACCCACATTAAAACTGAGCTTTCAAAGCCTTGTGTTACCAAAGCTCAGGGCCACGGCCCACTGACAGGTTCAGATGACATCACAGGTATATAGCACAGAGATCCACCCAGGATGAGGGCAAACAAGATGCCTTTCTGTGGAACTGACTACCACGTCAGAGCCTCCCGCCTGGTGATACCCTAACTCTCCTAAGAACAGGGACGACTCTTCCTCCCACTGTTAGCAAGTGGCTCCCTGTTAGTCTTTCAACAGAGCTACTTACTACTAAACACACTGCATTTTCTTTAAGTAGTATTTTTATCCCTTTGAGACAATCTCACTATATACATAGCCCAGGCTTGCCCTCAACCCTTGGTGTTCTCCTCCTGCCTCAGCTTCCCAACTGCTGGGATCACAGAAGTGGGTCATCATTCATAGCTGACAAGTATTTCTTTAAATAACAGATACTAAGCATACTTTTTCCTCTGGCCAAAGAGTCCTAACATCCAGGACCAGTAACTTTGTTCTGTGACTCTCTTGCAAAACACAGCTGCTGAACCCCAACAGACCAATGTTTTTTGCACAAAGCTTAAAAAACAAACAAACAAAAACAGCAACAACACACACATCGACACACACACAAAAAAAACCACCTTTTTAAAAAAGAAGTGAGGTGGAGTTTGGACTCCAATTAAGGCATTTTTATACAGTCCAACTTTTGAGAATCCTGAAAAGGTTTTCAACAGGCAATGGGGAAATAACAACAGTCTAAAAGAGTACTGCAGAACTATCCCTCATTTCAAACCAATCCTGTTGGACGTCTCTGTTTCTTAGTTCCTTGGTCTTAGTCCACAACTGCAAGGGTTATGTCTTCTGTAGGTCTGGAGAAAATGGGCCAGGAGTGGAAGGTCCATCCAGGCTAGACAGAGTGAATGGTCCATGACTGTTCAGCACAGAAGGAAACTGGGGAGACAAAAGCAGATCAGCATCTATTACAGTCTCGACTTCTACTTTCCATCCTTCCTACTCCCCAGGGCAGAACACAGGCACCCTCAAGATAAAGGCAGTGACTATACCACAGAAGACTACGGTGCATTTCTGTGTTTTGTTTAAATTTAATCACATGTGGGGTGGGGAGGGGTGGTACACACGGGGTCATAACTACCGTGTGAGGTCAGAGAACTTTTTGAAGGCCATTCTTTCTCCACCTCCATGTGGGTTCCAGGGATCAAACAGGCTGTCAGGCTTGCACAACAAGTGCTTTACCCACTATGACATCTCTAGGCCCAAAGTATTATAGCAAAAACATACAAACAAAAATGTCTTTGTCCTCCAAGAAGCTATTTGCAACGGATAGCCCTGCTGGCAAAGAAAAAAATCAGTTTTCCCCATGAACCATCCCTGGGAATATCAAGTCAGGCCCCATGTCAAGGAGCAGTTGGCCAATACAAAACAGACTCCCTGTTTTTTGTTAATGTGTTTTTTTATTCTTATTGGCTTACTTTTAGTTTGTCTATTTTATTTTTTCTCTTTCTCTCTTCCTCTCTTTCTTTCTTCCGTCCTGTTGGGTTAGCTTGCTTTTTGAGACAGTGTTTCTGTTTTTTGTTGTTGTTGTTGTTTTTAAATTTTTTATTTTACTTTATGTGCACATGTCTGTGTGAGGGTGCCAGATCCCCTTAGAACTGTGAGCTGCCATATGGATGCTGGGAATTGAACCAGTGCTCTTAACTGCTGAGCCATCTCTCCAGCTTCCTCAAGACAGGGTTGCTCTGTGTAACAGCTCTGGCTGTCCTGGAACTCACTCTGTAGACCAGGCTAGCCTTGAACTCAAGAAATTCATCTGCCTCTGCCTCCCAAGTGCTGGGATTAAAGGTGTAAGCCACTGTTGCCCAGCTTTCTGTTGGTTTTTAAAAAACATGTATTTATGAGAGAGAGAGACAGAGACAGAGACAGAGAGAGACAGTGCACATGAAGTTGGATGAGTGAGGAAGTGAGAAAGACCTGGGAGGAGCTGAGAGAAGAGAAAGAATATGATCAAACTATATTGCATAAAAATGCTTTTAATATTTTTTAAATTGTCCTAATAATGTATACACTAACTCTAACCTACCTCAAAGGAATGACTTTTACCCTAATGACATCTTGGTATACACCCTTATCTAACCTCAAAGGGTTAAGAAATTTGTTAAATGACAATACCCACTATGGGCTTAGTTATAAGGTCAACCACGAACCCTCAACAGGAGTCCCGAGAGGCACAGTGGTTACCAGATGCTCACCCTAGAGAACAGCCGCCCTACATTCTGCGAGCACCTGCAAAGGGGTCAACTCCAGCTGAGGTTCCAGGAACAGCATCAGGAATGGCTTACGGTTTCAGATCACCCTACACACCATTTCTTCTGGGGAGCACCATTCCCACATATGGAAAAGTAAAAATGCAACAGGAAAACTTCTTGATGCTCTTGCCATGCAATAACATTTGATGATTTTGGAATTTGAGGGAAAGGCCGAAGACAGCAGTGGTGTATATTCCACAAGCATGCAAGGCCCCCAAATGCAATCCCCAGTATCACTAACCCCAAAAGTAAACAAAAAAAAATCCCGCGTAGCCTGGTGTTCAACATCCACTTTCTTAGTCCTCTCAGGTGTAGGGTTTGTGCCGTCACACCCAGCTCTCCTTACCTTATGTTATCTATCTATCTATCTATCTATCTATCTATCTATCTATCTATCTATCTATCGTAGTGCTAGGGACTGAATCCAAGACCCACAGGCAAGGACTTTATCACCAAGTTACATATCCACATCCTTCCTTTATAAATTTGAGATCAAGTCTCACAAAGCTGCCTTTGGAGTAACTGGAATACAGGAAGGTGGCGTATTACTAGGGAGCCAGAGGCAGGCAGATCTCTGTGAGTTCAAGGTCAGTCTGGTCTACAGAGCGAGTTCCAGGACAGGCTCCAAAGCTACACAGAGAAACACTCTTTTGGGGGGGAGAGTGATCTGAAGCCTCAATACAAGACTTTTCCAAATATCTTGATGAGGAGATAATACAAACTTCATTTCCTAAACCTTGTATTTAAAATGCTGATATACTGATCAGAGCTAGTTAGAAGATCACTGGCTCCATACTGTCAACTAGGGAACCGAACCAGCATAGGACTGGACAAGGACCCCTGAATATAGGTGATGATGGTGTGGCTTAGGCAGTATGTGAAGCCACTGGCAGAGGGACCAGGATCTAACTATAATGCACAAGCTGACTTTGTGGGGCCCATTCTCTATGGAGAGATACCTTGCTCACCTAGACATTGGGGAGGGTGGGGAGGGGGGGCCGCGGCTTGGTCCTGCCTCAATGAGGTGATGGGACAGACTTAGTTGACATCCAAGGGGAGGCCTTACCCTCTCTGAGGAGCAGATGGGAGATGGGATGGGGCAAAGGAGAAGATCAGGAGGAGAAAAGGAGAGAGAACTAGGATTGGAATGTAAAAAATAAAAACTAAATAAAAAAATGCTGATATAGGCTGGCAAGATGGCTCAGCAGGAAAACTCTGATATGTATCAATTTTGAGAAGTAACTGATACAACAATCTACAGACTTTCCTCTTAAAAAACAAAACAAAACAAAACAAAAAGCCCAGTGTTGGTGGCCCATGCCTTTAATCCCAGCATTCGGGAGGCAGAAGCAGGAGGATCTCTGTGAGCTCAAGGCCAGCCTGGTCTACAGAGCAAGTTCTAGGACAGGCTCCAAAACAATGCAGAGAAACCCTGTCTCAAAAAACAAAACAAAAAAGGCTGGAGAGATGGGTCAATAGTTGAAAACACTGGCTGCTCTTCCAGAGGACCCAGGTTCAATTTCCAGCACCCACACAGCAGCTCACAACTGTTTGCAACTCCAGTTCCAGGGGGTCCAACACCCTCACACAGACATACATGCAAGCAAAACACCAGTACACATAAAATAAAAATAAATAAATCATTAAAAAATTGAAAAAACTTTTTAAAAATGTAATTAAAAGCAGGAATCTACAAACATAATTAAATTTCAAAGAGAGAAAACCTATGAGCAAAGCCTGCCCCCAGGCCTGTGTATACCCAGAGTCATGCAGAGCACACTTCTGTCGAGGGTCCTGTAAGGTTATGAAGCTGAAATTTTCTACCAACTGGTAACATTATAGCTATCCTAGAGTCTCAGTGCAGCACATCCCCAGAAGTTTGTGTCAACAATCTACTGCAGTGCTACTATGGGAAAGTACACGTGCAGTGTGGAGTTGAGAGCAGTCACTGATTTACGATTTACCATTCACCATGATTATTCTAGTGCCCTCTTACCACCAGCAGCCTTAAACATGCAGCTCATGTTTCCACTTTGTTTCTGGACAGGGTCACACTGTAACTTAGGCTGGCCTGCAACTATGTAGCTCAAACTCACTGTGATCCTCCTCCCTAGTCTCCCAAGTGCTGGGATTACACATGTGAGGTGCCACCTCCAGAATTACTTCTCAACTTGCACCTCACATACACACAGCATAGCAGGCTATACCATCATGTTTACATAAGTACACCACGATGGCACAAAACAAAATCACTCGATGGTTCCTTTCTCAAAATAGGTCTCCATCAACAGTAGGACATGTGCTATTGAGGGAGGGGGTACTGAGAATGGAAACGTTTAAGCAGGAATGGGAGTAGGAAGGAAGGAGAAGGAGAAAGAAGGAAGTAGGAAATTAACCAAAACAACGTGTACTTTGAAGTTCTTAATGGAAATCTACTACTTTTTAAGATAATTAAAGAGTATGATTTTAAAAAAATAAGTAGTTTGAATGCAGATACCCTACATGGATGAATAATGCTGTTTCCAGAAGTCATGGGCAATTAAACAAATCCCAGTACCAAGCAGGGGATAGCCTGCTTATGAGTTGTTGATCAGGGAGTTTTCAGAGTCCCTCAAACAAACGTAGGCTATTGCTACTGCTCATGGCTGCCCATCAATTGCTAAGACCTATTGCTAAAGACACCACACAGGTCCAAAAAACCAATCTGAACTAACTAGACACTTCCTCCATACTGGCTAGCTTTCACAATGTTGGAATGTGGTATGTAGGCTACTGGAAGAAAAAGCCATCAGCAGTATTGCTCAGCAATGGATCTTACATGCTGAAATACTGACCAGGCAGGCAACATGTGTCCCCTGGTGCTACTGTACCATGAATATTAAGGGAGTAAGCAATCACTTTTTAAATTAAACTTAAAGCCCATTCCACAGGAGGGAGTCCATACCTAGTGCTGTAAATCAGGTCAAAACTCACAGCTGGGTGCTCACAGACCTTAAGGGGACCTACTATTATTGCTTTGCTAAATGGACATGTTGTCAAATAGCCTTCTAAAGATTTACCTTTATACCAGGTGATAAATGCAGCTCTCAACCCTCATTAAGAGAAGTATTTTTAAAAAATAATTATGTGTCTGTGTGTGTTGTTTGTAAATGTGGATGGTGCTGGGAACTGAACTCTGGTCCTCTGCAAGAGCAGTGCACACTCTTAACCACTGAGCCGCTTCTCCAGTTACAGGGAGGCTTCCTTTTGTAGTGAATGATGGTCAACATTGAGACTCACACTGGTCAAAGTGCAGCGAACAAGTGTCTATGGTGTGCTCAGTCATTGATGGGACATCCATAGTACATGCATGCACGCATGCACTTGCCAACCCCAAGACTCAGGGAACATTGGGAAAAGGGGCAGGAAGAATTTAAGAGCCAGGGGATGGAGAACAGTGCTGTGAAATATTGTCTTCTCAATATGACATGGTGCTACACTCATAAACTCATAGCAGCTATGATTACTCACGCTACCAAGCAAAATCAAGCAAGTCAACTTTACAGCGTGGATAGGGGAGGAGCATATGAGGCCTATCCAAGCTGAGGAGCTGTGATAGTTAGGAGCTGTTGACTGAGGAGGATTCATTTTTCTTCAGGGGTGTAGCCCCAGATCCAGTAAATAAGCCCATACCCACTTATGCACAAGCAAGTAACCCTAACCAAAAAAAAAAAAAAAAAAGACATAAATTTAGGAGGAGGAAGTGTTGTTAAGAGGGAGGAAGAAAGGTTCCAAAGAGAACAGAATGGGGATAAGCAAAAGGACTAGGTTGTGTATATAGGTATGTAATTCTGATCAAAATGCATTAAATATAACCTCACCATGGCATTAGTATATGTACACAGACTGTCCAACTTATAGTGGTTTAACTTAGGACAAAAAATGCCACATGCATTCAAAAGAAACTATGTCTTGAATATCAGTATTTTCCTGGACTAGCAAGATGCAGTATAAAGTTTCTCACTCTGCTGGGTAGCAACTGAGATCCACAGCCCCCAAGCACACAAAGCATCACAAGGAAAAGCAACCAGTACTCTGCAGTGTGCGTGACAATGACACTGAGCATTAACTCTGCCCATTTCTGCTGCTAACATTCCCCAATTACACGAGGCATACTGTAATTTACCTGGAAAAGCGTATTAGCACCTTGCAGTCTGGCTGGGCTCAGGGGAGCAAATGGGCTGAGAGTACTCCAAAAGTGGATACTGGAGAGCAAGGGGCTTGGAGTCAGCAAGATGGGTGTCTGCAATACACAAGAAGACTGCTCAAGGACTTGCCAGGATTGTGCTCTATCATCCCAAAGATGCAAACAGAATCCACATAGTATGTTCTCCTCCTCCCCAAACATCTCTAAGTCTGAAATTTTATCATGATGAAAAGCTCAGAAATCACTTTATGATCTAGAAAAGATAAAGGTCACAGTAAGCACTTTAGAACCTAACTTTTATGGCGTCTTTCCAAACTAGAAAGCAAAACTAAATTCAGGTACAAAAGAGCAACAACTGAGTACCTATAATATCAGACTATCTGGGGTGATTTCACTCAAGAGCTCACCGAGGTGAGCAAGTTAATACCTAATGTAACCCAGTAAGCTGACTACTAAGCCCACACCATTCCCTCTCTCAAGGCTTTCACTCGCTTCTGTTTTCTCCTAGGCAAGCATTCCACCATCTGAGCTGCATCCTCAGCCCAAGAACAATGAATTTTAAAAGATGCAATGTTAAATCTCTTTTGTTTTGCAGATTCTAGTTAAGGTAAGGAGATGAGTTTCCCAGGTTTACATATAACCTTTCTAAGAAAGCCCTAATTAACAGAAATTGAATTTTTAAGTATAAACTCTAGATACAGCTGAAAAGTTGAATAATAGGTAAATAAATGTAGTCACACTTAAGAGGAAGAGCAAGCTACCTGTGAAAAAAGTGCTGGTGTAAGAGATGCTGTTGGGAGAGATGGACTTAAGATCCCCAGGGGGCTGGGGTCACTGCCTGTGACCACAAGGGCGGGTGTCAGTTCTAACCCTTTGGGCTTCTTGGATCTTGAAGAGTTATTTGTTTTGTCCTTTTCTGGCACAGCTGAATCCTCATTTTTAGGCTCCAGAGACAAGTTCTCTGGAAGTTCCATTGGCTGAGAAGCCACTGAGTCAATGTCTGTGTCAATGTCTGGGTTAGAACTCAATGGTGGAGAAGGCGTCCTAGGAGGCTCCTTTGGAGGAAGAGGTACGGAGGGAATCGGAGGAGTTGGGTTAAAGGTGGTAGCCAGAATGGATGCAGAGGCTGGGGCTTCCAGAGAAGGTAGTGTGGGAGAAACCAGTGTCTCCAAAGCTTGGATAGTTTCTTCAGAAGATGGAGAAATACTTGGGCTTGTTGAAAAGGTAACAGCAACAGGTTCGATGGGTGGCTTTTTGGCAGGTGTTGTTACAAATTTGATGACAGATGGTGTTGGCTCCTGAGTTTTTTTCTCTGCCAGTTTTTCAGCTGGATTCTCTATCTTGATTGACTTGAAAAGCTTCTTATTGGATGTGTTCAAGGAGTTGAGAGTAAATGAAGAGTACAAACCAGAGTGTATGTAGTCATTGCGACTAGATGTCCTGGCTGCAGGCTGAGGTGCCCGTTCCTTGGCCCCGTTCTCAGCATCTTTGGAACTGCTGGCTTCGAGGGAATTTAAAGTTTCACAGTCTCCCTCGATCCTGCCTACTGTCAGTGGATCCATTTTCAGAATCTCTGGATAAGAGACAAACTTGTACACAAACTTCTGACCATTCACTTTTTTAATGATGTTCTGTAGGCAGAGAAGATAAGCAGTCTTAAACTCTCTTATAAATTTACATTTCACAGTTCATGCAAAAGGGAACCTAGTGAAGTACTCTGTTTGAGAACAAGGCGCAGCTTTAAAAAAGCTTCAAAAGCATCTGCATCCACCTACCCCGGTCAAACACAGCACCTGCTCAGAGAAATTAAAGCAGCTCAACACCCTCAGCAACTGGACTAAGCCAGCACATGGGCGCTGAGGCTGTGACTGTTTGACTCTCTCCATCAAACACCTGAACTCACTGAACTGCAATCTCCAGTCCAATGGTGCAAGCCATAAGCAATGGTGCAAGCTAAGGGGTCTCAGAACATGGCACTGTGAGCTTCCTACTCAGCTGACTCTTACCTCAGGAAGGCTGGGAAGATCAACCACTGAGAGGTAGAGGAAGCAACAGCTCAGACACTTAGTCTAAGTCTATTCTTTGGTAACGTGTATTTTTCTCCAGTGCCCAAGAAAATATATAAAAATCACAAGATATTAAAAGATAATTTGGGGCCGGAGAGATGGCTCACTGGCTGCTCTTCGGGTCCTGAGTTCAATTCCCGGTACTTACATGGTGGCTCACAACCATGTCTAGTGAGATCTGATGCCCTCTTTTGGCATGCAGGTATACATGCAGAGCACTCACACATAAAGTATAAATAAATACATAATTTTTAAAAAAGATATAATTTTGGGTTAGGGAGATGGTTTGGCAGGTAAGGGTATTATCTATGCAAGCCTGAAGATCCAAGTTTGACCCCCAGAATGTAAAAAACTGGATGTGGTAGTATGGACATGTAATTCCAGGACTCCTACAGAGACAGGGAGTAAAGACAAGAGAACTGCCAGGAAACCTGCAGACCAGCTAGCCTGGGATACGCAGCTCAGCAGCAGAAACAAGAGATCCTGCTCCAGCAAATATGACAAAGTGAGAACAGACCCTCAAAAGTTATCTTCTGGGAAAACTGGAGACAGCTCAGCAGTTAAGATCACCGGCTGCTAAAGCTGGGTGCAGCACTTAGGATTAATCTTGGGAGGCAGAGGCAAGTGGATCTGTAAGTTTGAGGCTAGCCTGGTCTACACAGAGCTAGAGAAGTTAGAGAGACCCTGCCGATAGATAGGTAGATAGACAGACAGACAGACAGACAGACAGACAGACAGACAGAGATACATAGACAGACAGAGATGCATAGACAGATACATAGATAAAAGACAAACAGACGGATGGATGGATGAATGGATGGACGGACGGACAGATGGATGACAGAGTGAGCAAGCAAGCGCTGGCTGATCTTTCAGAGGATGTAAGTTTGATTCCCAGCACCCCCACATGGTAGCTTACAACACTGGTAACTCCAGTTCCAGGAGATCTGACACCTCCTTCTGTCCTCCTCGTATACCAGGCACACGGGTGGTAAATAGGCATGCATACAGGCAGCAAGCTCATACACATAACATAAATAAATCATAAAAAAACTTGTTCCTGACCTCCACAGACATGTCCCTGTGTCCCTCACACCCACACAAAATAAATTCTAAAATTTTAAGTATAATTTACTCTTGCTGATCTAGAGCCCATGGCAATCCCCTTGCCTCAGCCTCCTGAGTGCTGAGGAGTTACAGGTGAGTCACCATACCTAGGCAATGGCTATTCTTTGTTTTTTTTCTCAAGACATGGTTTTCCTACATAACAGCCCTGGCTGTCCTGGAACTCACTCTGTAGATCAAGCTGGCCTCTCCCTCCTGAGTGCTGGGATTAAAGGTGTGCACCACCATGCCAGGCTGGTAATAGCTATTTTTTAAGGTACTAATTTGTGTTCCCAAGACTAAATTAAAACTAAAAATTTGCCGGGCGTTGGTGGCGCACGCCTTTAATCCCAGCACTTGGGAGGCAGAGGCAGGCGGATCTCTGTGAGTTCGAGGCTGGGCTGGACCGACAGCCTCCAAAACAATACAGAGAAACCCTGTCTCGTAAAAACCAAAAAAAAAAAAAAAAAAAATTCAATCTACAGGTATATATGATGACATTTTTTGTGTGTGTGCATGAATGCACATGGGTGTTCCCATGTGTGGAGGCATGTGTGCACCTGTGTGTGCATGTACGTCCATATGCATGGGGGTCAAAAGTCAACGACAGGTGTTGTCCTTAATTGCTCTGGCTTTCTGTGTTGGTGGTGCTCTTGAGACAAGGTCTCTCACTGAACCTGGAGCTTGCCATTCCCCATCGCTGCTACCCAGCACTGGGATACAGGCATCCATATCTAGCTTTCCACGTGGATGCTGGCAGCAGGCTCTGGTCATCACACTTGCACTACAAGCACTTCACTAACTGAGCCATCTCCCCAGCTCCCATTTTCTTCTTTTAATGGAGCAGGGCCTCCTGGGTCTCAGGCTGGCTTCACATTTGGTAAGTCATCAATTTCAGATCCTCCTGCCTTTACCCTCTCAGTGTTAGGATTACAGGCTTTTGCCACAACAGCGTTTCTGTGGTGCTAAAGATTCAACCCAGGGCTTCACACAAGTCAAACAAGTAGTCTACCAACTAAATTACATCCTTAGCCTTCTAAGATACTCTTTCAAGTAAATTATGACATATATAGGAGTATTTATTCTCAAGCACCTCCAATTTCCTTTTTGTGTATTCCAATCTTGCACTTTTTCTTTTAAAGATCACTTCAGGGGCTAGAGAGATGGCTCAGTGGTTAAGAGCATGAACCAGAGCTCAGTTCTCAGCACCCATGGCAGGTGGCTAACAACTGTATGTAACTCCAGTTCTAAGGGCAGTGATGCCCTCTTCTGGCACCTGAGGGCACTGCATGCGCACAATACATACCCACACGGAGGAAACACCCATACACATAAAATGAAAATACATACATTCAGCGAGGTGACTCAGCAGGTGAGCGTACTTGCAACCAAGTCTGATTACCTGAGTTTGATGCCTGAACCCATCTGGTGGGAGGACAGAACTAACTCTTACAAGTTGTCCTCTGACCTCCACATGTGCACAGTGTACCAGTAAATACAACATTTAAAAACTTTAAAGGAGCCAGGCGTTGGTGGCACACGCCTTTAATCCCAGCACTCAGGAGGCAGAGCCAGGTGGATCTCTGTGAGTTCGAGGCCAGCATGGTCTATAGATCGAGTTCCAGGGACAGCCTCCAAAGCCACAGAGAAAACCCTGTCTCGAAAAACAAAAACAAAAACAAAAAAAAAAAGAAAAATGAAAGAAAGAAAAGAAACACAACCAGAACCACTGAAACTGTTAAATAAATTGGACTAAATAAAACCACATTAGTACTCAACATCTCAACAGAAACAAAGGGCTAATTCTTGTCTTGAGGTTCTCTGTATAGCAGCAGGGTCAGGGCAGTGTTTACCTTTACGTAGTAGTATCTTAGGGCTCTGCTGAGCTTATCGTAGTTCATATTAGGCTTGTTCTTGCGGATCCCCCAGAGACGGGCCACCTCCTCGGCCTGCAGAAGCTTGAACTCCCCATTGTTAGATGTCCAGCAGATCATGTGCTCGTTCTGAGGCTCCTGCAGGAGCTGAAGAAGGAACTGCCACAGAGTGATGGCACTGTCCATAGCAATGGGCTGAAAGGGCACATGGATAGGTGAGACAGTCACTTAATGACAGGCACTGTTGTCAAGTGTTCTAAGTGTGTGCACAACTCTCCTACAAGATACATGCTACTCCACCATCACTTCACACGTCAAAAAAGGAGATTAACACAAGGCTACGTATCTTGTCCAAGGACACTGCAAATACTAACACAAGACTTAAGTCTAAGCAATCTGAATCCAGAGTCCACATTCTTACCTAACTTTTGTTACTTAGGTTTTGTTTTGCCAGTGTCTCCTGTGTGGCCTCAGCTGGCCTTGAACTCAGTTCTCTTGCCTCAGCCAGTCAAGCACTGGGATTAAACTATGTACCACTATGGTCAGCTCCCTTAAGAAAATCTTTTTTTTTAATATTTTATTTTGAAGTCTGTGTGTGTGTGTCTCTGTGTGTGTGTGTCTGTGTGTATATTTGTGGACATGACAATGTGCCACAGACGCCAAAAGAGTGTTAAATCCCCTGGAGTCGAGTGCTTTACATGAGTGTTGGAAACCAAACTCAGAGTCCCAAAAGCAGTATACACTCTTAGCAGCTGAGCCATCTCTCCAGTCCCCAGCTTTAGAAGTCAACAGCAAAGCACCTGTGCGTGCGGGAGGCCTTGGGTTCCAGCACCAGTATGACAGGAAAAAAAAAATGTTAACTTAAAAATAAGCAGCTTCCAAGGCAAATAAATCTAGTTCCACTAATGACAGCCACAAGCTAAAGACTGGAAGTCAACAAAGGTCAGTTCTTCTCGACTTTGACCTTTAAAGTCCTATTGTCACATTCTCTCAGAAGACCACCATTTCAGTATCTAGCTAAATGAGCCCATTGTGCTTATCTGACAAGATGTGTGTCTCAGGATGGCTAGGAGGCTGAGGTGGAGGGAACAATTTGTCCTAGTCCAACTGGTCTTTCTCCTTCAAATAATAAGCATCATGGCAGGGTAGTTTACATACAAACTGGCAATATTGAGAATTCAACAAAATGTTCCCCAATTCAATCTGCAAGTTCTGTTACTGTTCACAGCCTGCAGAGTTTCTCATATTTAATTAGTGATCAGGATAAGAACAGAAGAAAAAGCCTTCAATATTGGGGTCTTCCAGTTTGGGTCAGTTGTCAGTTCCAGCAAGCCTTCCACTGGAGCTGGCCAATCCTAATCCTGTGCTGCAGGACTGTCCAGCACACTGCAGCTGCGTCAACAGCACCCTGACTTCTGCCAATAGACATCAATACCCTTGCCACTGAGACTGTCTGCGGTCAAGTCATCCCGCTGACAACCACTCTCCCAGACAGCAAGCAGCAAGCTCGTGCTCTCACAGGGGCATTTTCCTCACAGAACTTCATGGGAAGAATTCCTTACACGGCAGCTCTTAGACCGGATCAACATGCAAGTGTATTCATATGTGACAGAGTGACTGAACATCTCCCACAAAAACTAAAAGCAGAAAAACTCTCCCTTCTCTAGGAATGAAATCTCAGTGGGTCAGAAGAGGGTCTGAAGACAAATTGATTCTACTGAAACACTACAAAGACAGGCAAACTGGACTACATCAAAATTGTAAACTGTGCTGTGAATACCAGCAAGCCAGAAAACAATCCTTCCTGTATGTTCTAACCCCTAAACCCACTCACAAATCATGTGTCATAAGGGTACTTGCACCCCCAGTAGGTAAACAACACTTATGGCATAAAAAGAAAAGCCAGGCCCAGAAGTCTCTCCAGAGAAAAACTGGAGATGGCCAACGAGCACAGAGAAAGATCTCTCTATCATTAATAATAGAGACTGGAACTCAAAAACAAGCCAAAACCACAAACGTGCCTATTATAACCAGAATGAGCAACAATAAGCTGACAAAGACAGAAACTGAAACTCACACATTGCTGGTAGAAATGTTAAATGTAATGCCTCTAAGCCAAGTTTACCACGTGACCAGGTACACATCTGGATAATGGAACATATATCCATAAAACTGTATGGTAGTACATGCCTTTAATTCCAGCACTAGGAGGCAGAGGCAGGGGCAGGCAGATTTCTATGAGCTCACTGACAGCCTGGTCAACATATCAAGATCCATGCCAGTCACAAATTCACTGCAAACTCTGTCTCAAAACAAAAAGAAAACCAGAAGTGTTCATAGCAGAATTACTCAAAAATCCTAAGAGTGGAGTCAATTCAAATGTCCACCCAACTTATGAATGGAATAATAAAATACAGTACATTCATGTGTTGGAATATTATTCAGTCATTAAAAGGAATCAAGAGGGGTGGAAAGATGGCTCAGTTATTAAAACACTTGCTGTACAAGCATGAAGGCCTAGTTGGAATCCCCAGAATCTACATAAAGCAGTAGTCAACATCTGTAACCCCAGTGCTCCAAGGAAATGCGAGTGGTCAAGAGAATCCTACAAGCTCAGGGAGTCAGTTGGCTGGAGTACAGAGTAGCAGAATGATGAGACCCTATCTCAAACAAGGTGGAAGGGGAGAGCTACACCTGAGGCTGTTCTGGTACCTTAATACACATACACACAAAAACATGAACTCACACAAAGATCAAAAATAACATTAAGTTTAAAGGCAGAAGGGGTAGAGAAATGACTTGGTAAAAGCACTTGCTGTGCATATGGGATGTCTTAGTTAGGGTTTCTATTGTTATGAAGAGACACCATGACCATGACCATGACAGCTCTTATAAAGAAAATATTTCATTGGGGCTGGCTGGCTTACAGTTTCAAAATTTTAGCTCATTACCATCAGGACAGGGAGCATGATGGGCAAACATGCTAGTAGCTGAGAGTCTTGCATCTTGTAGGCAGCAGGAAGTTTACTGACTTACTAGGCAGTATCCTGAGCATAGAAAACCTCAAAGCCCGCCCCCACAGTGACATACTTCCTCCAACAAGGCCATACCCATTCCAACAAAGCCACACCTCCTAACAGTGCCACTCCCTATGAGATTATGGGGGCCAATTACATTCAAACTACAGCATCTGAAAACCTTAGTTAGTTGTCAAGAACCCACAATGGAAGAAAAGAAACGGATTCCTCACAGTTGTATACACACACACACACACGTGCGCGCACACACACACTTTTTTCAGAAGGAAGGAAGGAAGGGAAGAGAGAGAGAGAGAGAGAGAGAGAGAGAGAGAGAGAGAGAGAGAGAGAGAGAGAGAGAGAGCGTACTGATACAGCATGGACAACCCTTGAAAGCATGACAAAAGTGAGCAGCACCATCTACAAGGGACAGTGGGTGGCTCCAGGAATGTGAAATGTTCAAACCAGAGCATTCCACAGACACAAGTGAGATCAATGTGAAGTGTTCAAACCAGAGCATTCCACAGACACAAGTGAGATCAATGTGAAGTGTTCAAACCAGAGCATTCCACAGACACAAGTGAGATCAATGTGAAATGTTCAAACCAGAGCATTCCACAGACACAAGTGAGATCAATGTGAAATGTTCAAACCAGAGCATTCCACAGACACAAGTGAGATCAATGTGGCTGAGCTGGCTGAGGTGAATGGAGAGCATTGGGTGGAAGGAGCAGGAAGAGAAAATTGGAGAATGAACACTGATGACCACAGGCTTCTTTTAGGGTGGCTGAAAACGCTCTCAACTAAGATTGTAGTGATGCCATTCTTGTGCATTAAAGAGCACTCAACCGTATGCTTTTGGCAGGCGATGTTACTCTCAATGAAGACGTTTAAAACAAACAAACAGACCTATCGTAACCAGCATTACAAAATTCAGGCATGAGAAGACTAAGTCTAACAACACATGACTCAGAGGACAGATTAGTGAGCGCCAGCCAGGAACATGTCTGGGTTTCTAGAATTGCTCTCCAGCACGAAAATGCCCTCCCTTGTCTTTAGTTACCAGTTTTGACACTGCCTGTACAGATACTGTGATCCAAAAGCAGAGACAGTAAAATGAGAAGGGATGCCTCCCTCCCACAGTCCGAGTTGATGGTAAAAGTGAGACAGGAACCCCAGGCTCCTCCATCAGCCATGGACTCCTCTACTGAGAGAAGCCTCTTCTCCATCCAGCAAGAGCAATGCCAGCACTAAACTCCAGAGATTGAGACACCAATCCCCAAAGACCCTTTCGTGCTAAGTAACCAGCCGACCAGACCTCTTCCCCACTTAAGCAGAGTTAAAATAGTGACTTCATTTCCATTAAGTGTGGCAGGGGAGGGGTGACCCCTGTCATTGTTTTCAGTTTTCCAAACAGACCTTTTTTCTGATGATATTTATTCTAATGGCACTTCTTATGTCTATTCTTATTCTTTTTATTAGTAGTTTTCCAATTACATCCTAGTCCAGCCTGTTAAAAGTAATCCAATAAGCAGGAGCCTAAGGGAAGAACACATTTCAGATGTCACCATCACATCTAGAATGTCTGCAGGGTCTTGCCTGGTAGCATACACCTCTAATTCCAGCACTGAGGAGGCAGAGGCAGGTAGATATCCATGAGTTCAAGGCCAGCCTGTCTGTTAAAAAAAAAAAACTTGGACGCCTCAGCACTTGGGAAGCAGAAAATCAACACATCAAGGTCACCCTGACCTGTATGAGACTATGCCTGCCTCCAAACAGCAAAAACACACCACCAAAAACATGTAGTGCTGGGGACCAAACCCAAGGTTTCATACAGTAAACATGGGCTCCACTACTGAGCTACAACCCTCAACCCTCAACCCATGACTCAATTTCAGCGTCAGGTTATTCTTTGAATGAACTCCTAGATACACAGTAGAAATTCTTCACAAGTGCAGTATTAATTATGAACTTCAACAATTTCAATTATAATAGAGAACTGGGCTTGGCCTGTGGCACACACCGTTAACCCCAGCACTCTGAGGCAAAGGCAGTTGGGCCTGTGTGAGTTCCAGGTCAGCTAGGACTACATGAGATGCTGTCTCAAAACAAAACACCAGAAAACAAGTAGTGGGGAAACAGGGGAGGTGCATGCCTACAATCCTGGCTCACCCGAGTATGAAGCCAGCCTGGGCTACATGTCGAGACAAGACAGGAACAGAAACATACCCAATACATGCACAAAGGCAGAGACATTCAATAGTTACAGCTTCAAAGGTTTTGTTTGTTTGGTTTGGTTTTTCAAGACAGGGCTTCTCTGTGTAGCAGCCCTGGCTGTCCTGAAACTCTTATTTGTAGACCAGGCTGGCCTGGAACTCAGACATCTGCCAACAGAGGCATGCACCACCACCACTACCACCAGGACAAGGGTTTTTTAGAAATATAACAAAGGCAGACTTAAATGGATCCAAACGAAGCAACCTCATCGTTGACAAGTTAAATGCTGGAAAAGGTTTACCACTTACAGACCAGTCTCTAAGCTACTCTGAAAGAAAGGGCTGTAGGGGCTGGAGAGCAGCTCATCGGTAGAGTGCTTGTCTAGCATGTTTGAGAAATGAGTTAGACGGCTAGCACTCACCTAGGCGATGAAAACTGGGGCTACCTTCGCCAAGGAGTACAAGGGAAAAATAGCAGGGGGGTCTGGGGTGCGGATCAGCTGTGAACACCTGCTGCAGACCCTGGGTTTGATACCCAGCACATGAAGGGAGGGGAGCGCGAAATGACAGCCACAGAATGCTGCACGAAGAGGTATTACACGTATACTTCTTTCCCTTCTGTTGTGCTGGTGACACAGGATCACCACTCAGTACATCTCCAGCCTCATATAATGGTATCCCAAAACTTAAATAAGTATTTCCCAAAAAAAATACAATGAACCCCACGTAAGCAGTTCCCATTCTTAAAACCAAGGATCAAGGATCAAAGAACAAAGAGTTCCTACGGGGGGGGGGGGGGTGGAGTGAATCACACTGTTTTAACAAAACACCACTGCCAGCCGGAAATAGAGCTTCAAGTTCTGTGCAAGGGAAGAAGGCAGAAGAAGAGAGCTGCCCCTAGAACGACACACAGGCAGCCGTTCTGCTGAAAGAATCTTACTTAAATGACCTAACCTTCAAATTGAGAAAAAGCCTACTGTGTCTTCTGACTTCACCCAACAAATTCCCCTTATTTCCTGCGGATGCCTGTTAAGATTCCTCGCCCAAAAGATGTTTCCAATGCTTTTCGGAGTAAGAGCTTGCCACAGCTGTACAGTAAGCGAGGGGAGAGGCTGTTGAAAAGGAAAGATAAACCCGTGGCCGGATAGGCAGCGAGCTTGGGGAAAGGAAGAATGCGGCGTGAGGCCGCACATCCCGAGATCAAAGTGCGGGGAGACGCAAACCTCCGGCCTGTGGGCGAGCCATAAAAGCACTTTCACTTTCCAACTTCCTGCCGATGCAACAAGTTAAAACTGTTCCCCTCCGCCTCACCCAGGCAACAAAAACCGCTGCCGCCTTCCGCCTAAGGGACTTCTCACGACCCCCCGTTGTGCGGGAAGGAGAAGGGGGCACTCCAGCGAGCACCTGGGCGCCGCTGCGCAGCGCCCTTGGAGAGCGCGCACCGGACCCCGCCCACCCGCCACAGGCCCCGCCCACAAGCCGCCAGGCCCCGCCCTCTCCACCGCCAGGCCCCGCCCCCGCCGCCGGGCGCACTTCCTGCCGCGCCCGCAGCCCCCGCCCGGCCCGCGCTAAACCAGACTGAGGGGCGGTGGTGCGAGACCCCGACGGGGCGTGGGTGTGCCGCTCACCAGGCCGGACGCGGGAATCCTTCTCGGCCTTGAACGCGGTGCTCGACTCCGACCGCTCCTCACGCTAGGAACTCAAGGGCGGCGCGACAGCCGCGGCGACCCCCGCGCCGGGGCCCGAGAAGGCGGCGGCGGCCGAGCCGAGCCAGCCGCGTGCCTGCAGCCGCCCGCATCTCCTGCCGCCGCAGGTCTCGAGCCCCGCCCTCCGCCTCCGCACACGCGGCTGGGGCGGCGATGTGGCTAGTTGGGCTGCCACTCGCCAGACGCGCGCCCTACGTTCTCCACCACTGTCCCGCTCTCCCGTCACTCCGCGGCCGCCGCCACTCTCAAACCCCCCCGGCACTGCCGGGGCCCTTCCTCGACGCCGTAGCCTCGCGTCACTTCCGGGGGCGGGGCCGAGCCCCAAAGCCTGTGTTTTGTTTCTGGCCCCGAGCTCGCGTTTGTACCCTATTAGGCGGTCCGGTGCTCTGGCTCCCGGGCCTCCAGCTCCGCGGGACATTCGTCCTTTCCCGCAGGCCCCAAAGCGGGCCTGGGACTCCGGGGTAGCACCTTGGGGCGAGCGGGGTGGCAGCGGAGCTGACGTGTGAGGGCGACACCCTCCGGGGAGTCTCCACCGCCACTTGATCGTTGTCATTGACTAACAGCTCTGGTGGTGTGGGAAAAGCTTTCCGGTTTACTACCTTTGCTAGTTCAGTACTTTAAGTGACTTTATTTTTTATTTTATTTTATTTTATTTGAGACAGCGTTTCAACACGTAGCTCTTGCTGACCTGAACTCAGAAGAGATCCTCTGGCCTCTACCTCCCGAGTGCTAGGATTACAAATGTGCACCACGCAAAGGCCTGGCGGCGGCGGTGATAGTGATGGTGTTGGCGCATGCCTTTAATCCTACCACTCAGTAGGCAGGAACAGGTGGATCTCTGAGTTCGAAGCCAGCCTGGTCTGCAGAGCGAGTTCCAGGACAGACAGAGCCATAAAAGAAAAAAGAAAAATGAAGAATCTAAAACACAAGTTAATTGTAAAGTGACTGAGAGAACCAAATCTTAAAGTTGTAACTGCTAGAGAAGGGGTGCAAAAATCACTACCAAATTCACAGGTTTGCAATATGGTTCTCAGTATGTTCGAGTTCTAAAGGCTGAGGCTGTTGAGAGTTCCAGGCTAGCCCGGGCTGCACGCTGAGACCATGTCTCCCCGACCCACCAAACAAATGAGTGTGTTACTTATTTAGGGTTTTTGAGACAGCTTCTGCAGTTCAGACTGCCGTGGAATATACTGCAGCTCAGGTTAGCCTTGAACTCTCAGCAATCCTGTGAGCATCTCCAGTGCTAGGATGGTAAACGTAATCTATCAAGCCGGTTCATACAAATTTGCTTTGTTTTTGGAAACAAGGTTTCATGAAGTCCAAGCTGAGGGTGACTTTGAACTTCTGATCCTGTTTTTTCCACCTCCAAAATAATGAGATTATAGGCTTTCAACACCATGCCCAGTTTCCTATGTATAATTTTTAACTGTGTTAATGTGGTTTTATTTTAATGACATTTTTATTCTCTGAGAATTTCAATCGTATTCACCCTCCCTCACCCTCCAACTCCTCCCAGGTGCCCCATGTGCCCCTCTCAACTTGATGTCCTCTTTTTCTTGTTGCTTACTAAATAATCCACTGAGTCCAGTTGGTTTGCCCATATATGCATGGGTATGAGGCCATTCAGTGGAGCGTGGTCATCTACCAGGAACCCATCCCTAAAGAAAACTGACTCGGGCCTGAGAGATGGTTTAGAGGCTAAGAGCATTGACTGCTCTTCCAGAGGTCCTGAGTTCAATTCCCAGCAACCACATGGTGACTCACAACCATCTGTAATGAGATCTGTTGCCCTCTTATGGTGTGCAGGCAAACATGCAGACAGAACATTGTATAAACAATAAACAAATCAGGAAGGAAGGAAGGAAGGAAGGAAGGAAGGAAGGAAGGGAGGAAACTGACGCCTTCTCCTAGCAGCCATAGAACCAAAGGCTGTTCAGCTGTGAGTGGGGTTTCTATGCTACTCATATTGGAATGTTGACTGCTTGCCCTTCTACACATCTTTAACAGGCAGCCATGGCTGCTGGGAACTCATGAGTCTAGTGGTCATGTCCGGAGAGTAGAGTCATCATCTGACTCTTAAAACCATTCCACCTCCTCTTCCTCAGTGTTCCCTGAGCCTTGGGTGGAGGTGACCTGGTATACATGTCCCAATTATGGCTGAGCACTCCACAGACATTAGTTCTTTGCACTTGGACGAGTTGTGACTCTGCATAATATGGTATGCATGGCAAAAAGAAGCTTCTCTGGTGTGAGCTGAGCATTGCACTGATCTATTGGTTTAATAAGTGTTTACAACGCAGTTTGTACTCTGTCCATTTAACAAAATCCTCTTAGAAGCAGACTGACTTCTAAGCCTATGAGCTCCCCAGCTGCTGGATCTTGACCAAATATACAATACCAGGCTGCCCAGTTACCTCCTGTAGAGTGGAACTTAAACCCAACCAGAGAGTAGTTGGTTGCTTCCATTATATTCATGGCACTACTGCACCGTTGGTATGTTACTGTAGCTCACAGGGTTCACCACTGGGTAAGACTGTTGATCACTTTTCTTCCTCAGAAAACTGCATAGCACCTTCCCGTATTATGAAAGCTAATCATCAAGGAGGAAACATCCTGGTCAGTACCTGCCCAAGGAAGCCAGAAGAGGGTGTCACAACCCAGATCCCCTGCAGCTGAACTTACAGGCAGTTGTGAACCACACACACAGGTGCCAACACTCAGGTCCACTGGAAGAGCAGCATGCTCTTAATCACTAAGCCATCTCTCCAGCACCCCATAGCTATAATTCTTAAGGGACCAAGTCACACTTGGTGCAGGAAACCACTTGAAATAGCAGCCAAAGGGATGTAGGGCCATTAATAAATGGTGACAGCTGGGGAAAAAAAAACTCTGAAGAAATAGATTGTGATCTTATATTTAGCATGTTGCCAGACCGGTCAGTGTCTGAGTTACTGGCTTTCCTGGCTGTTTGTTAGTTGTGTTGTCTTCAATAAGCTGCTTAACTTCTCTGATCTTTTTTGCATATTACCAAAAGATGATAATGTCCAGCATTACCGAGAGGGTTAAAGAACATGATCTCTGGCTGGTACAAAATAGACACTCCGTAAATGGTGATGTCATTTCTTTTTACCTATCCTTGTCTCCCATGGTTGAACGCATGGTAAAATTAACTGAGCACACTGCATGAGCATTACTCCCTGTGTCTCCAACCATAGCACCTGGTGACTAAAATACACAGAGGTAACTAAGCCTGTAGGACCAACTTGACCAAAAGCTGTTAGTTTTTCAGAACTTACTCTGGAGCTGAGTGTGGTGGCACATGAATGCAATCCCAGCTCTCAGGAGGCAGAGGCAGGAGAGCCACAAATTGCAGGCCAGCCTGTTCTGCACAATGAGTTCCAGACCAGCCAGGGCCACATAGGGAATCCCTGTCTCTAAACAAACCCAAAGCCTAATCTGAGCAGGCCTCACAGTGCATGCCTGTAACCCCAGAGGCACGGGAGAAGGAGGCAACTCTGGACTTCAGAGAGAGTGCTGGGCCACTCTGGGCTACAGAAAGACTTGTCTAAACAGACCTAAAACTGAAAAAAAAACTATTTCCCCAAAGGATGTAAAGATACTTCAATTCAGAAATACACTTTTAAGTCTATTGTTGTGGTACACAGTTGTAAGGCCAACTACTTGGGAACCTGAGGCAGGAGAATGACAAGTTAGAGTCTTGCCCCAGAGATTTAGTTGAGACACTGTCTCAAATTTCCCCCAAAGGGAATATAACTCATTGTAGAGCATATGTTTGATGTGAGGGAGGGCCTGAGTTCTTTCCCCCGGTGTTGAGTGTGTGTGTAACATGCGATACCTGAAAACCAGTAGCCATCTTGACCTCTATTCTAAAGTTTTTCCTGTAACAATTTCTTGGAAACTAAAAGGAAAAATACAAATTATGAGGGTAGATTGTTTGAATACACCCATTGGAAACATCCACTTGTAGAGAAGTTTAAGATATTTAAAGCACCATAGCAAGAGCAGTGGAGGAGTATGGAGACCTGCAGATGTTCCTGCTGCTCCTGAACCAACAGGAAACATCTGGTTCAGCCTGGGGCCAGAAGTTGTGTCACAGCCCTTTTATAATGAGCTTATAGTGCTATCAATTACAATGTATTTTTGGAAAAAGCCTGCTTTGGGAGTTCTGACATTAG